GGTGACTGCTGCTATGCACTTAAAACTAGGTTTTAAGCTTCTGGGCAAATGGTTGTAGGCATAGTTCACTCAGGAGTTCTTGGATGGAGCTATCCTACTTCTTTGTCTGCAATGGCCATTTACCAGATTTTGACATTGATAGTTGACTGGGGCATACGGGTCCACCTCGAGTCCACATCTGTCATATACAGTAGCAGTGGCAAGCTCTGCCCTGTTTCTTCCTTATTTGCCTCTTTTATTCTGGAAGTGATATGCTATCTGGATGAAGAAATGTTCTGTTGCTGTTTCTGAGCTTCCATTTTTCTCACTTAGCCTCATCTTAGGCATCGATGTCCATCTGAGCTCTGCAAGAATAAAAAGCCTCATTGCTCATCAAGGAGAAGTTATTTCTGTTTTAGCAAGACTTCTTCTAACTCTTCCAATCTTAAGTGACCCTACTATATCGAAGAGAAATCCTGTTTCTTTTAAGAATATTTTTAAAGGAAGTAGGTTTATTATAAAGGAAGAATTGTTTTCTACAGAGAGGAAGATCATAATACTGCTTGTGATACTGCTCTGAATAAGAAAAGCTGGTAAGATCAGGCTATGGCATCATGAACTAAGAAAACCCAGAATAATATTGTTGAATGCATATTTCCAAAATAGCTGATAATGACTAAAGAAAAACCTCACTTTTTGGGGTATTTTTCCCTGCAATTGTTCCTTGTTTTGCCCAAGCAATCGAGGTGCAACAGCAAGATTCAGTTACGGGATTTAGTTTGATGTCCCAAGAAAAGCATCATTAAAAAAAAGGCTGCTGTTTCTTTAATATTTGGTTTCATAAAGCCCTTTCGTATTCAGTAGTAATTTATTCTAGAATTGACACCATCAAATTCACTGTCAGTAACAGTGGTAGATGCTGACTTTTAAATTTCTTTAGTTTATGATGGATTGTTTAGTCATGTTTTTTATCAGCAGGGCATGGTCATAGTCCTTTTCTGCAAATGCCTGCTAGTTACTTTTCACCCTAAACAAGCAGTCATTGAAACTGTGTCCAGGTTTAAATCAAAGCAAATTTCCAAAGTTCTATTTATCCATACTCCTGTGCCTTTTTTCCTCCCAACACAGGGAGGAGGAGCATCCATGCACACAGCCAATATGGATTGAGCCACTATATAATGAACAATATAAAACCAATATCAGCTCAACTTATCTCCTCTTTGATTTTTTTCAAGAAGTTCAGAAAGACAGAACAACTTCAACAACTTTTTTTTTTTTTTTTTTTATGGCTTTGTTTTCAACAGTCCTGAAAGTATGTGTGAAAGAAAGAGGGTCTCATTACTTACTATTGGACCAACTGCCTTCTAGGGATTTTGTAGCACTACCTGCAAAAGAGCACTGAAGATTACAGGGCAGACATGAGTAGCTTATCTTATGTAACTTTTGTCCAAAAATTTTGCAGACCTGTAATTCATTATTCATGTGCTTTATAATAATGACAAGGAGTTTAAACATAACTATTTGAAAAGAAATACTGTAAAAGTGTATTAAAGCATTCTGTAAAGCTGATGGTAACCATAAAACCAAAATGTATACGAGTATGTGATATGAATGGAAAATGGAATATAGCCCCAAATAATTTTTCCCAAATCAGTTACCAGTTGCAGCTCAGTGGCAAGCAACCACAGAAGACACTCAACTGCTAATGATGCGTATGCTACAGAAACAAATATTCCACATAACCTCTGGAAACAATAGGTTGAATAAAAGTATCTTGCAAGCCAGCTCTGCTGTATGTGTTTCTATTTGATGTTCAGCTTCCTTACAGTGATTGTTAAAATGTTATTTCCTTTACAGATCAATCTGTGATGAGACATCTTTTAAGAATATTATTTCTTCGCTATATTCTGTCACATAACAAATTTATTCTATGGCTGGTGATTGAACATAACTATGCAGCACTTTTCTAACATCAGTTGCATCAGAGAGAAGCCATTATTCTAGAGTGTACAGACATGCACAGCCAAAATGATACAGTAGCTGCTGCCCTAGTAGACGTGGTATGTAATGCTGCTATCATAGAATCATAGAACAGTTTTGGTTGGAAGAGACCTTCAAGCTCATCGAGTCCAACCTTTGTCCTAGCTCTATCAACACCGCTAAACCATGTCCATAAGTACAACATCCACCTGTCTCTTAAACACCTCCAGGGCTAGTGACTCCACCACCTCCCTGGGCAGCCTGTTCCCAATGCCTGACAACCCTTTCAGTAAAGAAATTCTTCCTGATATCCAGCCTGAACGTCAGAATTGATTCAGCTGAGTATTTTTGCTGTGTTCCTTTGGTTTGCCTTTTATTAGTTGTTAATGTAACTTTAGTGATTTGGGACTACATTCCCATTTTCCATTAAAATTCCACACTTGCTCTGGCTGATTGGTTATAGCTGATACTCTTAGATTTCCAAGATGCTTTGTATCCTTGTAAAAGTATTTTCTAATAGCACGTAGATTAAACAGAAGGCCACAATTTCACAGCTCACAGGCCTACACAGCCAAATAATATAGTAGGTGCTGAAATGCGAAAGGTACGTAACGGTGTCAGCATATAGTCTTGATTCAATCGTCTAAGGATTTTCTTAGTAGTCTCCTTTAATTAATTAATTTGTTAGTATTTCTTGCACCTGGATCCCTACTTTCTCTCGGATAAGGGTCAGTGCATAGTGCCATAATGACCATGCCACCTGTGCTGTATGGGTGGGTTTTCTCAAAACTGAGAGCTGATCATGTCAGCTGATGAAATTGGATACTTTCCTAGTGCAGACCTATCTCTTGACTTGGGTACTGTCATTATGGTGTCAGTTTTGTAATGGACATTTATTTCATTCATCAATAATAAAGTAATTATTTGAGCAGAGAGGGAATGTGGGTTTGGCTAGTCCCAGACTATTTTCTCAGCCCAAATAGTAGAAATTGCTATTTCTACTATAGTAGCACAATAGTAGAAATTAAGAGAAAACACCCGGTAGTCAAGACACTGATTTGGCACGGAAGAAGACGGCAAAGCAGCGTAACCAGTCAGCTATCCACTCTTCTGAGGTAAGAATCTGCCTCTTCTTCAGAAAAGAAGGTCTTGGTTTTGGTTTAGTTCAGAACATGAAAATATTGCAGAATCAGAAACTTTCTTAGCAGGTTTAGCATTATCCTGTCAGTTTAGTATTATTACTGGCTATAATCTCTAGTAGAGAGTGGTGGAATTAAGGAGCTGCTCTCAAATTCTTTTACTCAGCCTACAGCAAAGCGTAGACAATTTGTCTGTGAGGTTGTCTGTTGACTTGTTCTTGAAAAGACACGTCTCCAGGTAAACAATGAGCAAGTATTTTTGCACTATGTCATATCCTCTGTCTCTTAAAAAATGTACCTGCATAGTATCTAGATTATCTTCCAAGAGATTGAAAATATTAGAGTATCTTTTTTTATGATTTTCTTGTCAAAACTATGATATGCATCAAATACAAGCAGCTACCTCAAAAATACTTCTCCAGCTTTTCTCTTTCACTTCTGTTAAAGTTTGCACAGTTGTTGTGCTTTCCAAATATTTTGTATGTGTTGGGAGGGCCCCTCTGAATTTTCATGCATTCATATATATTGGTCTTGTGACTAAAAGTTGTGGTCAAGGTGATCTGTTTCTATTTCCTTCTGAAAGTCAGGAGAAAGCAAGAGGATTGCAGTTAGAAAATTTGATTATTGTCTGTCTGTTCAAGGCAAAGCGGAGAGAATAATGAGCCTGACTTCAAGTTACATGAGGACCGAACATTTAGCAGGCCTAATCAAGAAAATGGGATACACAGCAGAGGATGAAGGTCTGGGGACATACTTATATCCAACATCAGCACTTAAAACTATTCTGTTAAGTCTGTGTGGGTGGCACAGAGTAGCAGATCACTCAGAAAATACAGTTCAGAATTTTGTAGCTTCTCCTGGTCCCTTCTGATCAGGAGACACTATATCCCCTCTCAAATTCTATACATGTGCCTTCAGTTATCCACAGAAAAGAGGTGGGTGAAGAAATTACTTTATTAAAATGACGTGAAATGCAGTTCACTTTCAAGGCTGATGATTACGGTTGTAGATGAAGTTTTATTTTGAAAGATGCTTGTTGACTTTTGCTCCATTCAGATGAGAATTTTTGTGCTTGACAGCAGGAGGAGAAGAAGGAACTAAATAAGTATTGAACATGAAAATGGAAGAGAGTCAAAGACTGAAATGGGGAGGCAAAGATACTACCCATGACAGCTTTTGACTAAGGCAGATAAGCTATGCTGCAACTTATCCGCACTGTTAGGAAAGGATGGTTTCCTCGTCACCTTCTTCCTTTTATTTTCATCTTGAAAGATTGTCTTCTGATGTTACACAAATGCTATATCCCTACCCTTTGTGTACAAGTCAGTGCAGTCAGGGTTTTCTTTGGGTGAGCCATTACCCTGTCTTTGTAGGTGGCAAATGTGGATTGTTTTGAGCACATGAAGCTGAAAAGACCTCTGCTGTTTCACTTGCATTGATCCATCCTTCAAAATTAATTTCCTTATCTCCTGTGCCTGATACCCTGATGCCCATATGTTTGACAAGGTTGAATTTCCTGACCATACTTTCTGCTCCATCTTGAAAATTTATTCTTTAACTCCACCTCCTGGCTCTTGGTCCATGGAAAGGAGGATTCTCAGGAATCATAGAGCCTCGAGAAGGGATCTGAAGCATTCATCCTAGTTTACAAACGTTAGTGTAGAGGTGTATATGGGGACATTTTACTCGGGGCAATACAGAATTTGTTGAGCTCACTCATTCTGGCTTCCACAGAGGCAAATGTTTTAGTGAAGAGGTGGACAACGTATTATGTGGCTCATAGTTGCTGGTTCTTGTTGGGCTTTTTGTTTCTCAACTGCAGCAGTTTCGATACATGACAGACATCACAAAACGGTCTTTATGACTGTTTTTTCTCTAGTACTTCCTCAATCTCATGGGGGTGGGGAAGTACAGAAGAAATCGTCTGACACTGAAACATTAAAAAAAGATCTCTGAGGCCTTGCAAAGGAGTCTTGATTCGCTCAGGGAGAATTGCTTTGACTGTGTTCATCCTATTCAACCAGGAACTGCCCAAGAAGTGGAGGAATAGAGTTTAGTCATCTGGATTTAGGCTGAAAATCATGTCTCTTCCCCGACAGCTGCGAGAAAAGAGGTAATGTGTCTCTTCTTCCTCCCGCCCTCCCACAAGCCTTCATGTAACTGCTACGATCTGTTAATTTAATTTGGATATGAGCTTCTTTGATGATTCTAAAAGGCTTCTTATTATTGTAGCTTCCAAACTATTAGGCTACTCAGAGTGGAGCAGACCATTTCTTAAGTTGGAGTGGACTTTCTTCTTTTTGTGGGGAATATTCATCACCTAGGACAATAGTGGGTCATTGTCCTCTTTATAGCTGCAAACAGTTTCCCTTTTACTGGGTTTGTGATATGAGTGTTTGTGATATGACTAATTATATCTCTTGATCTTCATAACCACATCCCTCTTCACAGTAAGTGGTAGTATCTACAGCATTGTGGGTGGTGCTGATTCATGGCGTTCTCGTACAGCAAGCTATTGCAACACTTTGCATCATTACTTTAGCCTTCCGGATAGGCTATGCATTGTGGAAGTCCCTGCTTGCGATATTGTCCTAGCAGAATAAACTGAGCCAACTGCCATGTTTTTCATATTATCAGAATATGTAACATTACATCAGCTTGGCATTTCTTAGATGATCCTTTTAAAAATTTCTCTTTCTCTCTACGTCATTTGTTATCCTTTCTTCCTCATTCTTGATCTTTTTTTACTTAAGTGTTAATATAAATACCACTCTAACAACATTGAGTTGTAAGATTGAAGCAAAGGTGAATTTGTCTTCTGTTTGTCAAAGATGTTGTACCAGGGAGAAGTTACCAGAGGAAAAAGCACCTGCCAATCCATGCTGGTTTATTGTGTGGACAATATAGACAAGAAACATGAGAGCATGGCCATATGGCTGCTCTTTAGGTGCTCCTGCAGGGATCCTTCCTTCTCTCTTGCTTAAAATCCAATACTTTCTAGAATCTGCAAAGCTTATTCTAACCGTGCCCCTACTACCATGTGTTCCTTCACACATTTTTGACATTTTCAGACAAGTATCTTTGTGCTTGCTTCAGGTTATCTGCTGTGACTGGGAGGTCTCCCTCTACAAATATTTGCTAGGCTACTCATTCTTTTTTTCAAAGCCTCTTTAAGAGTCTGCTTTACTGTAATGTTTACAAGAAAACTTAACATTTTAACAGCTGGTGCAGACACCACTAGTTATGATATAGAATAATACTATGTCTTTGTGTCTTTGCTTTTTTATTCTGTTTGTGCTTATCCTTCTGTTGTTTCTTATCTTATGTGTATAGGGTATATCGTATGTATCATACACATAGAGTGTAAGGTTTTTAGGAATTAGCTTTGTGCTGTCAGTTTCTACAGCACCTGGCACAAGCAGCTCTTTTCTCAGTATGGTTTCCTATTCCCTACAGTAATACAGTAATAATAACAGCATAAATCATGGTATATAATGATGATCTCTTTAGAATAAGAGATATTGCTGCATTTATTATTGCAAGTCTACTGGATGTTGTAGGAAGGATTAAGAATGCATCCACAGTTGATCACATTTCTCAGGAAAAGCTTACCAGCTTATGTGTTTCTTTTGTAGTCCTGCTACTCTAGCAAGTCTAGGAATGATAGGGATGTTTTTCAGGCTTGATGAGTCTTCACAATGGTCACTGACTTCTGCTGAACTTACAGAAATTTGACATCTCAAGATCAGACATCCAGAGGAAGAGAATGACGCCACGAGTTTCTAACTTAATGGTTTTCATACTAGATAATGTGATGTTGCCTAACTATCTTCGTTCTGTATGGCAGAGAGACTTCTGAGGGCTGATGCCAGTCTGAGTAACGAGAATCTTTTGTTCTTGTTTCACAGTGACTTTGATCAGCTCCCAGATGATGTACCTGTTTCAGCTAACATTGCAGATATTGAAGAGAAGAAAGGCTTTACTAATTATTATGTAAGAAGGGAGATTTATACTGTCTCTGTATGCCCTTATCTGTGACTGGTTTGGTTGTGCGAAGCAAAATTCAGTTAATCTGTTGTAGTTGCTTTTTGGCATGAATAGTTCCATGCAGAGAACTTCTCAGTGCGTCTTTTTTTCTGGAATGGAGGTTAGTCTATCGCAGATCTAGTCAAAAAATTTGTCTGGGTGAAAGGTGACGGAAGTATCCTCTAACATTGCTTGTTTTCTAAAATCTTACTTAATTTCTGAGTTATTTCCTGTGCTGTACCTTTGGTGAAGATAATGGGAAAGGAATTAAAAGAGGGTAGAAGGGCAGGGTCTTGTCTTCATTATTGCATGGTACTGGCAAGTTAGACACTCCCATCTCCACAGAAATTATCATATTAATAAGTCATGAAAGAGCACACAGGAAGGGAATAGTAGAGAAAAGTATTGTGAGATTTTCTGAAGAGGGGTTTTGGATAAGACCAGGTCTGACTTCTTCAGGGAAAGCTGTTTTGACTGGAGACATTGCTCATAAAACCTTCTCACTGCAGTATGCAGGTTTTACTCTGGAATATAGTGATGTTTGATTGCTCTGTCCTTATGTTTTCTGAAGGATCTGGCTGCAATGTGACTCAGAGGTCAGTGCATGGAAATTGTGGGCTCCTTTAGAGCAAAGCAATTTTGGCAAGAGATAAGAAATAAGCTAATAATTGGAGGAGATCAGACCATAATTTCTGAAATGGTGTACTTTAGAGTCAAAAAGGAGTGTGAATGCCTTCAACTCTGAAAATCAGTTCATTTAGATGTCTGTCTATAGATTTAGATGTCCAAAGCATCCTACTGTAAAATATTTGTGTTTACCTCCCTAATAGGTTTTGTTTGTGTTATCATGAAGTAGCATCTGGTCATTTCAGGTTTCCTTTTAAGATTATGTAATAGAAAGTGGCCACAGGGACATGGTCCATAGGAAAGCTGGACCCACACATACACCACACTGTCTGGTGATAACTTATTTTCTAGTACTTGAGTCTGCAGAGGCTTAGTTGAAGGCTTGCTTTCCACTCTGCCCCTAAGACAATATTCGCACTACCAGAGCACTGATCTTATGTTCCTATTGTATGCCTCACTTTCATTTGGTAAGTATTTATAAGTATGAACATTAGCCTGAATGCCTCTTCTCTGTTTCAGATGTTTGTCATTGAAGTAAGGGTTAAAGGTGGAGGCAGATACCTGATTTTCCGACGCTATCGTCAGTTCTATGCCCTGCACACCAAACTGGAGGAGAGATATGGGGCAGAGAGCAAAAATAGCCCTTTTACCTGCACACTCCCCATATTGCCAGGTAAGCTGTCAGTACCAAATCTGTACATGATTAGCAGATTTCTCAGCCTCAAGCTGTCCTAAAGAGGAGTACATTGTAGGAATAGTTGTGACAAGGAACTATTACCTGGGTGTGGATGCTGGAGAAGTCAAGTTCCATTGGCAGTCCCTCCATTTGTGGTAAAGTTCACTTAGAAACCTAAAATCCTTTAGAAAATATGGATTTTCTTTGGGATCCTATTTTCTTCTGATTTCTCTGACAGCCTCCATTTATTTTTCCTTCAGTAACTGTCACATATTTTCCAGGAAAAGTTTATGTTGGGGCCAAAAAGGAAATTGCTGAAAACAGGATTCCTATCCTAAATGTCTACATGAAGGTAAAACTTAATTTTAAGGTAGAGATTGCACTGAGCACTGCAGATACTTACCCCTTGAAATCAGATAAAAGAGAGACAGTACTGTTGTAGGTATCTGCTTCTCTCTGTATTGTTTTTCCTGACGACACAGTGTCCATACTGTGGGACAACCTGCAGTCCTGTTCCCCAGATTGTTCAGACTAGGATCTGCTGGAATACACAGTTCAAAAAGGCTCACTCCCTGCCTTCATATATAGGTAGATATCCTTACAAAAGAAACCCAAGATGTATGACGAAATGGTGAATCTCCAGGTATTGCACAAATATGGAGTTGGTATGTGCACCTAAGGGACTAGGAGGGTGGGGTGGGCTTCTGCGTGTACCTGTTCTACAGTGAAGACACAGCCAGTAACACTGAGAAGAGAAATTCTTTGTGTGCAGGTTAACTGAAGACTTGACTTTAAATCACTAAAAGTCTGAAGTACTGGTCAGGACTTCTGGTACTTAAGATTGCCTTCTTTCTATAGTCATTCATGTCTGAAGGGAAACACAAAGAGCAATTTACTCCTTCTGCAGTAAATCAGGTACAAAGAGTGAAGTGATATATTGGCCAACTCCAGGAGTAAACAGGAGAAACTGTCAGCTGTTCAGCCATGTCCTGCTGAGTGAGAAGGGAGAGGAGGGAGATTTCTGGCAGTAATGCATATCCTTCATGATCCTGTAGGTCAGAGAGGCATATTTCTTACATGTAAATAAATAGAGAATTGGTCTCTCCCACTGTTACACTCTGCTTCCTACTTGCTCTTGGCACAGAACCTACTCTGCCTACCCGTTTGGGTGTTGATGGACGAAGAGGTACGGCTGTTCTTCTACCACTCAGTCTTTGATAGTGAACAGGTGCCTCGCAGACTGAGACGGCTTCGCCCACGGACACGCCGAGTGTAAGTGATTGATGTGTTTTTCAGCATTGCTTGATGTAAGAGATGCTGTCCAGTTTTGGGGGAAGAGAGAGATGAGGATCACCACTGTGTTTCCCAAGTGAATCCATGAATTCCTAATATGAGGATCTTTGTGGTAGAGTGAACACAGGTATTTCTTGTTTTCAGTAATCTCGAATTTTTAAAGTGAATGTGGTACTCGTATTAAAGGAAAATTCAAAAATAAGAGTATAGCTTGCTTTTAAAAAAATGCTGCTCAGCTCTATCTGTTGGTAATTCTTTAATGGTAATATCTATAATAATGTGCAGAATATACAGGCTAAGCTTAAGGACATAGGCTTGCACACTGAAGTCAAATGTGAGTTTTGGCACTGAATTTGGTGAGATCCAGTTCAGACACTAAATGAAACTGAATACTTAATTTGTTCCTATCCTTTGTCTAAACAGGGCCCTGTCCTACATAGCAGCATTGACACCCCTTTGGATAACTGCTAAGTAGACATCATACTTCATTACCCTTCAGACAAATTAATTCTTCTTTCAACATAACAAAGATGGGCCCACTTCCTTTTCACTTACCTCAAACGGTGCAAAAACTGATGTGTGTATGCTGGCAGAGTTTGAACCAAATGCCATAAATGCTAGAAACAGGGATGCCCAGAAGGCATAGTAGGGGGGCTGAGCAGTGCTGTGGAAGAGAGTTTCAGGATACTGACTGTATGAAAATTCCATCTGTTCTCAGCAGCAGACATCATCAGATTGCTGCTGCTTGAAACTGAGAGAACTAGGGCAATGTTGTTGCATCCATATTTATTTACTTCACTGCTGCACAGATTCTCATGCAGTTTCTCTGGTGATCTATGGCTTGCCTGCCAGTTAAAAAATGAAAATGCAGACACTGTACTACTGATCACAGAATCATAGAATCACTAGTATTTTTGATGACTAGAAAGACATATTTACCTCCCAGTTGTCTCCTTTCTTTGCAGTAAAAGCATTTCACCTCAAGTACCTATTTTTGACCGCACGGCAACTCCACGGGCTGAGGTGAGTACTCTGCACAATCTGTCATAGGATAGGAGATTAAACTCTGTTTTACTTTGGTGTCTCATCTATCAAGTTGCCTTTTCCAATTAGAGCAGGGGGAAAGAAGGGAAAGTGAGATCGACACAGGAAAGCAGCTGATTTTAACATCAGGGAATGAAACAAGGGGTGGAAATAAGTGTTATGTTCCTCCTTACTTGAGTAATAAGAAGATCCACTGTGAAGTCAGAAAGATAGGAGGTTCAAAATTGGCAGTGATATACAGTTTACTGCCAAAGGGTCCACATTTACACAGTGATGACCCTAAATTAAATTTAAAACAAGCAGAAGCTCCAGCATATGTTTAAAAGCTTTACAGGTAAAGCATCTTAGTATCATAGATTCATAGGATGGTTTCGGTTGGAAGGGACCTTAAAGATCATCTAGTTCCAACACCCCTGCCATGGGCAGGGACACCGTCCACTAGACCAGGTTGCTCAAAGCCCCATCCCTTTGGCCCCTGCAGGGGGGGGGGCAGCCACAGCTTCTCTGGGCAGCCTGTGCCAGTGTCTCACCAACCTCACAGTGAAGAACTTCTTCCTTACATCTAATCTAAATCTACCCTCTTGCAGTTCGAAATCATTACTCCTTCTCCTATCACTACACTCTCTGATAAAGAGTCACTCCCCATCTTTCCTGTAGGCCCCCTTTAAGCACTGGAAGGCTGCAATAAGGTCTCCATGGAGACTTCTCCATGCCAAACAGGCCCAACTCTCTCAGCCTGTCCTTACAGGGAAGGTCTTCAGCTCCCTGATCATCTTTGTGGCCCTCCTCTGGACCCGCTTGAGCAGGTCCATGTCTCTCTTATGCTGGGGGCCCCAGAGCTGAACACAGCACTGCAAGTGGGGTCTCACCACAGCAGAGCAGAGGGGGGAGAATCACCTCCCTTGACCTGCTGGCCACACTTCTTTTGATGCAGCCCAGGATGCAATTTGCTTTCTGGGCTGTGAGTGTACATTGCTGGCTCATACTCAGTTTTTCATCTGCCAGCACGCCCAAGTCCTTCTCCGCAGGCCTGCTCTTGATCCATTCTCTGCCCAGCCCGTATTTGTGCTTGGGATTGCTCCAACTCATGTGCAGGACCTTACACTTCACCTTGTTGAACTTCATGAGGTTTGCATGGGCCCACCTCTCCAGCCTGTTCAGGTCCTTCTGGATGGCCTCCCTTCCCTCCAGCGTGTCAACTGCACCACACAGCTTGGTGTATCAGCAAACTTGCTGAGGGTGCACTCGATGCTGCTGTCCGTGTTGCTGACAAAGATGTTAAACAGTGCCCATCCCAATACTGACCTCTGGGGAACGCCACTCGTCACTGGTCTCCACTTGGACATCAAACTGTTGACCATGAGTGTGACTCTTTGAGTGTGACCACCCAGCCAATTCCTTATCCACTGAGTGGTCCAACCATCAAGTCCATGTCTCTCCAGTTTAGAGACAAGGATGTCATGCAGGATTGTGTTGAATGCTTTGCACAAGTCCAGGTAGATGACATCAGTTGTTCTTCCCTTATCCACCAATGCTGTAACACTGTCATAGAAGGCCACCAAATTGGTCGGGCACAATTTGCCCTTAGTGAAGCCATGTTGGCTGTCACCAATGACCTCTTTATTTCCATGTGCCCTAGCATAGTTTCCAGGAAGATCTGCTCCATGGTCTTGCCAGGCACAGAGGTGAGACTGACTGGCCTGTAGTTCCCCCGTCTTCCTTTTTTCCCTATATGGGGGTTATATTTCCCCTCTTCCAGTCAGTGGGAACTTCAATGGACTAGTATCTTCTGTACCATAGGTGTACTGAAAAATGCCTATACCCCTGTCTTTTGCTGTGTATTGTCTTGGTATTAAGCACATGGAACTGCTCTGTAACCAGTACTTGTCTGAGTATAGCCTTGCTTCCTGGAACATGTGACTTTGCCATGTAAGATTACAAAACCCATGCAAGTGCTTTGAGGTTTGTTGTTTTTGTGTTGTACACTGAGTATGACAGGTCTTGAATCAGTCATATCTCTTGGGTTTTATGTATTAATTTATTAATATTGAATATACCTACCAAAGCTTTTCAATAAATGAAAAAAGGCTCTTGAAAGAGCTATTAAATAGCCATTGTCTTTTTTTGTATTAGGTGAACTCTTGGCATTAACAAGACCAAAAGACCCTTCTCAATCAGAACAAAGAATACCTTTTCACTTTTGCTCCTCTAAGAGCCTTCAAATGGCTACCATGTTCTCTAAGGACAATGGAGGAGATGTGCATTTTTGATAAATCAGACACTTTAATTATTCAAGAACAGCTTGTTAGGGTAGTAGCATGTGGTTACCTCCTTTTTTTTTTTTTTTTTTTTTTTTTCCCCCCCTGAAGAGGTCATCTAAGTTCCATTTTAAGTACATGTCAATTTCCCAGACTTCCCCAAATCTCTCAGTTCAACATACAGGCCTGAAAGCTAGATGTAAAAACAACAGTTAGTTACCCTTATATTAGGGCACAACACTTCTGCAATTTTTAAAGGATCTTTGTGATATTTTGCAGCAAATCTGAAAGCTGTAAAACAGAAACCAGAAATAATATTTATTTTTTCAGTTTTCAGGTTGTCAGTTGTCTTCAGCTCTGTTGACTTACTTGCTCCTAAGTATTTTCAACTTCTTTATATTTATTTCTTTGGTGCTCAGTGTCCTGCCACTTAAAGAATCCTAGCATGTAGCTCTTTCAGAGCCATGCTTATCCTAGTGCTTTCACTACTTCAAAGCATTTTTGTGTGTGCTAAGTAGGAGAAATTGTGAGAACTGTAGACTGCAGTAATATATATGACCTTACCCCAGAAATACATCTGTGATGACAAAGTGCATGCTATCGTGCTGCTTTACGCTCTCACCCCAAGAACAGAACAGAAAGAAAGATTCACTTCTGTAATTCTGTGAATTAATAATTTCAGTGTTATTACTTTCCATAGGCACTGTTTGATTTTTCTGGAACCAGTAAACTGGAACTCAGCTTCAAGAAGGGAGACTTGATCTATCTACTCAGCAGAGTAAACAAAGACTGGTTGGAGGTAAGACTGCAATAGCAGTACTGAGTTATTAGCATACCTTGAAATATATGAGTAGAAAGGGCTCTCGTAGTCCCTGGGACCTGTCTCCTCCTTTCAAGGAGAAACTGTATCATAATTAGGTCTTACTGTCAAGAATAAATCCTTAACTCCAAATTTGAAATTGTTTCCTTCCTTGATGGCTTTTAGCTTACAAATTTTCTGCCCTCTAGACTTCAGTTTTCATTTGCATTTGCTTCTGCTGGAATGTTTCTAAATTCTGTGGAAGTGATTAGAACACAAAAAGGCCAAGAAAGGAGATGGAAACTCCATTTCAGCAATTAATTGGTTTCTTGCCTCAGGGTGAGTTGCTGTATGCTTTATGCTTTGTACCACAACACACGTCAGCCTGATTAGAGAGAACTTGGGCAATGCAGCAGTGTTCTGAAAAAGGATGAGGAGAACATACTGTGTGTTTGCTGATATGATATCTCTTTTTGCTCAAACACCACAGCCTTCTTAGTAACCATCTGACTTCCATTTTTTGCACAGTGTTTCACTCCCCTGCCTTGTATTTGACTATGCAATTGTGTAATCTTTTTGTAGAGATGCCATCAGGTCACTTCCATAGCCTGTTTATTCATGATTATAGTAGAAAAATTCTTACTGTTGTTTCCATGGAAATTAATTGAATTCCAGAATTTATTGTACATGGCCAAAATGGTATGGTCTTCTTCATCCTAATGCTTCCTATTATTCCAGGGAACAGTTGATGATGCCACTGGGATTTTCCCATGTGCTTTTGTGAAGATCATAAAAGATTTACCACAGCAGGAAGACACAGTTAATAAAGTTCGCTGTTATTACCATGATGAGACTGTGAGCACTATCAGGTAATAAGAAAATAGTCTTCCAGTTTACTGCTGAAAAAATGCTGACAATTCTCTTCTAATGATAAGGAATGATTAGATTTGTTCTTATTACAGGGATATCTCAGTGGAAGAGGATCTGAGCAACATTCCATCATTCAAAGATCTCATGGAACTGATGAGGTACAATGCAAGCAGTTAGTTGTATGTTTAATATAATTTAAACATTTGTCAAGTTCCTTCCAGTCCTAGATTTTCTGTATTCTACTTGGTCATCACCATGTTTTGCATGTGAAATAGTTTTTAGGTGTCCTGAAGAAGTTGTACTTTGACTTGGCCCAGGGCTGTCTGTGCAGACACTAGTCTGCCTTGGTATTGTCAGTAAGTATGGAATACTATTTCTAACTCAATTATGCTGGGTAGAAGTTTCCATTTCTTGTTCTAAGATCAGAGCCATACCCCCATGCAAGGATCCTTTCTCTAATATACTTCTTCAGGATGCAGGACACCGCCTCCTAACTCCTGTTAAACTAGTGTTAAACTAGATTAGTCTAACGTTGAACATTAAAGCATTAGAACATCAAATATTGGTAACAGAACACCTACGCTAATATTCTTCCATTTATAACCTGCCCTCCTCTCAAAAAAGTGACCATAAGTAGGCAAAAGTGAGTAGTAAATACAGTCAACAATTATGTATGGGAATTGCATCAAAGTCACAGATTAATTATGCTGTGCATGTGGTGTTACTGGAAGAGGTTCTTGGTTCTGACAGATTTCTTAGTTTAAACACAACACAGCATGAATGTGGCTGTATGATTTCTAGTACTAGTTGTACCAGGAAGCCAAGACACCCAAGGCTTTGTGTGGCTTTTATCAGAATGTATTAGATTGCCAGTGTGTTGTTCATCATGCAGCACCTCCCAGGCATTCCTTGATTTCTGGGGATCAATCAATTTCTTTTCTGCCAGGCAGGAGTTTGACCAAGATGACATTGTTTTGAATTACCGGGACCTTGATGGTGATCTGATCCGACTGCTCTCCGATCAGGATGTTGAACTCATGGTGTCTCAGAGCAGGAGAAGGCCCTCTGAGAAGCATTTCTTCCCTTGGAAGTTGCACATCACTCACAAAGATGACTTGAGTGTCTACAGTAATAGTCCAGGAATAGGTTCTACTCAAACAGTAAGACCAACGTAAGTGCTATATAGAGATGTTCCAGTAGGTATCTATACAGTCCTTCCGTAATCCCTCTCTGCAGATAATTTCCTTTAACAAGCCTTTCAAGTGAGCTTGAAGAGAGTAATTTTTAGTAATATATTACCATTCAATGTAAAACCTGTACTTAGTTAGCTTCTTCAGCTTTTTAGCACTCCTCTGTAATACAGACATCTACGTAGAGACCAGAGAAAGTGAGGAATAGAGAAATAAAATCACCCGCCAAAGTAAGTCAGTGTTAGCCTGCAACAGAGGTTTAGTGTCCTGAGCTCCAAGACCTGCTCTAATCTCTATTCTTGCTCCAACAGCTAATCATTTGTCCAGAATGTCTTCATAAGCTTTTTTTTCTAGACTGCCATAATTTTCTCTTCATTTGCTGATAAGAAGGTTTGTGCTTGTGAATGCACAATTATTTCTGTCAGGTTGTAGTCTGACTGGGCATTCAGAGTTTGTTCTGGAAGCATCAAGAAAACATTTTCATATTTTGGTGAAGAAATTGCAGCCCACCTTTGCTTTTTTCTTCTACTGATCATTATTTTGAATTCTGTGAATCAAACCTAGTACACTTGTGGTGTTCCTCATAGACCCTGTTGTAATTGTACAGTCTACTTCTTTCTGCATTCTGGGAAAACTTGTGTGTGATGCCTATTCAAATACATTTTCTTCTCTGTTTATCATCTGTTTTCTGACACCTCATTGCAAAGCAGAACTAACAAGGAATTACTGTATCAGATTCTTCAACAAATTAAGTTACATATGAGTTTATTTTATCAATTTCTATACAAAAGGCTTTTTGTGGGGCGATGAAATAATTCTGCTCCTTTTTTTTTTTTTTTTTGCATGAAAGTGAGATAATTTTGAAGAAGAGTTGATTGTTACCTGCTCAGCTTTCCTTAAGGAGGAGATCATTATCGAAAAAAAAAATATATCTTGCAATAATATCTTTAATGGTCACACAATTAAAATATTTTCTTCTTGAACAAATTTATTGCTGCTTGTAAGAAAAACAAGTTATGTACGTGTTACATAAATTGTTTGATACATAAAATACTGTATTTTAAAAACCACCATGCAGTCATGGTGTTAAAAAGATACCACGAAGTATAAATATAATCAGAAAAAAGGAAGAAATTAAAAGAGTTTTCAAACACTGTGCTTTGGATTTGACTGTTAGTTTCTGTGGTATTAAGCTACAATTCCTCATTTAAAAAAAACTTTGGTTTTGACCTAATGCTAAAATTTGTGCAGATAAAAGGGAAGAGCGACAAGTATTTGAAGGCTAAGAAACAATTAAAAAATGATGCATAACTAAACTACCAAACCTCCCCAAACCAGCAAAATAATGTTTTCTCTTTTTCTTGGATATTACCAGTAATGCCATAGTAAGATCTTCAACAACAACAAAAGTATTTAAGGTGACTTATCCTTTAAACTTGTCTTTTATTCTTCTTGGTGTATATATCTAAACCTATTTATATATATAACCTTTAATAATCTGTTATCTGTAGCCCTGCATTTATGCATATAAGTGTATTGGAAATAAAGGAAAGCATTTATATTTAAAGATAAGCATATAATTGGCTATATTTGGATCCATAAATCATTTTATTAAGTGCCTCGTTCTAGCAGTAGGCCAATCCTGTACAGACTTGTATAAGAAAATACACTGTCCTTACAACGAGTTGTAAGATGTGCTACAGGCCGTATCTGCTTTCCAGGTACCAAGGTCCCACCTGAAGAATCCATGCGTATTACATTTCAGAGGTAGGCTACCTGTCTGCAGAAGAGAGATGGGTTATGTCAACCTTTTTCCCAATGATGGATGGTTTTAGTTGACACCATTTTCCTAAAGTGTTACAAAATGTAACTTCCCGCTTCAAAGGCATTGTAGTGATGCGGTTTAGTAAGGAGATGGAGCGATATACAATGATAATGTTAGTAATCTTACACCTTGTGATGCACAAGAGAATGCGTTGACAGTTTGAAACCTAACTGGCATGCACGGCCTGCAAAGCTTCTGGCATGCAGGGCTACTTGTTACCTGTTCCTGGAGTTCAACAGAGCACACAACGTCTGAAGATTTTCCCTGGCAGCTAGATCCTATGGTGTAACCAGCAACTCAGCAAGTCTGTCTAAAGATGGAGGAACTGTTTGAGTGAAAGGGAAGGAAAACCTCTGCTGGGAAACAAGAAACCTTTTTTCTAAGGGCGGGGAAGAACACACATCAACTTACTGACCTCTGAAAATCGGAGCGGGAGAATTCCTTTGTGCCTTTATACTGTAAAGCAAAGTAAATTCTGCCCATCCAGCAAAGTCACATATTCCCCTCCTTGTCTGCAGGTTTTATATGCACACCTCCTGATGGTCCCAATGACACACAACTTCCTCAGATACTCTCGTATCCTCCTTCTTGCACTGCATGTTTCCCTTATTCACAGTACAAGTTTTTTCCCTTGTATATTGGTGTGGTGCTGGTGAGAGCCTAACTGTGCTACTTATGGTTTTGGTCAGTACTACAGGGATTTAGAAAAGGGGTAGTAGCAGTGCAGGACAGGCAGACTCTGGCAGTTAGAGTGTGCATCTGGGGACTCATCTTAGTCCCCATAGTTTAGCCCTGAGAGCGCAAACCTGAGTGTGTTTTCCCTTATGGCCACCCAACTTTCCTATAGTTGTTCTTATTGAAAGCTAGGGGGCTGGCCAAGTTTTAAATCTGGATTTAAAACAGCGTGGCTGCCTTGGATGTAGGGTAACTTCAGATCAACTCTTCTCACCACTTTTATTTCCTCTATGTACGTAATTAGTATTTAAATATTAGTCAAATTCAGGGGTTACAGAGATAACAGGTAGTTCTTGCTTTCCCCGCCTCCCCATATATGTACAAACAAAGTACAAAATGATCCCTGCTTTGAAGATTGCCTTGCCTAGAGTAAAGCAAGAAACAGCCCTGGAGTAAAAACCAGAGTATTCTTTCGTAGTCTTTCTCACTTCTGCTGCAGTCAAGCATCTTTTTTTTTTTTTCTTTTTTTTTCTTTTTTTTTTTTCAGAAAAGACATTAGTCCCATGCCCTGGTAACTGTTAACATGCTGATTGGCAATGACAAACTTCCTTCCTCTCCCTTTCCAGTTAAACAGTCCCGTCTTAAGTAAGTGCTTTGGGGGCTAAAATAGGAAGTGTAGACTTCCTATTTTACAGGCAAATACACAGGCTTTCCTTGAAAGGGCGTGGTCTGCTGCTTTGAAAGTGGCATTTGAAGTGCATAGAAGATAGAGTAATTATTTTGAAGACTTACTTGTCAAGAAAATCCTGTGGTTGGTTTATACCTTCTGTCTCCAGTTTGAGGGAAGTGTGGTTTTGCTGGTTTCTGCATCAGAGGGTTCTGGTGCTGTAGGAGGAGGCTGGACAGGGAGAGTCACCTGTCAAGTTCAATCATCTGCCTCACAGACAGCTCTGGATCCAGGTAAGGAACTGCTTCGGCTTTAGGGAAAGCAAAATGGCAGAGTCTGCTCTCCTAGAAGGGCTTGTGAGTCATTAAGGTATTCGTTGGCTGTAATGATTATTCAAGGGCTCAGCCAGCTGTTTCTGAGGGAAGTGGCATTCAGGAATCTGAAAGTCAATAAAGTCAATTTCAAAGGAGTTTTCCCCATGCTTTCTTAATGTGGAAAGCAGTCTCAGCTCTGTAACATACCTGAGTAGGTGAGTTTGTTATACTTTTGAGACAGCAATGTGAGATGGCCAAAAGGTCTTGCATTTCAGTAGTGAATGACGCGGTCCGTGGTTTCAAACCCACCCAATCTACTCTCAATCTCAACAATCACCACGAAAAAAAGAAAAAGAAATAGTTTCTTTGGTATCATTTCTACAAAGCTATGTGGTTGAGCATGATACTTTTAAGGAAAGGTAAAAAC